CAATTCTCCTGCCTCAGCCTCCTGAGTAGCTGGGATTACAGGCACGCGCCACCATGCCCAGCTAATTTTTTGTATTTTTAGTAGAGACGGGGTTTCACCATGTTGACCAGCATGGTCTCGATCTCTTGACCTCGTGATCCACCTGTCTCGGCCTCCCAAAGTGCTGGGATTACAGGCTTGAGCCACCGCGCCCGGCCCTGTCGTTAGGATTCTTATCATTGCTTCCAGAACACCCACTGTAATTGTAATGGTCAAGATTTGGACAGCATTTCATGCACGGTGTCAACTTTAGTCTTCCCATTAACCCCACTAGGGGACGATGCCCTGCTTTGAGAGTGAGCAAACCAGAGTCCAGGGGTGAAGCTGGACTGCCCTGGAGCCATAATGATCAGCGATAACGGTGCATGGGCCCGGGCCATGGGACCTTCCCCAGGAAGGGTAGGCTGGTGGCTGGAGCTGGTGAGGGTATATGCGGAGATGGAATGTGACCCAGATGGGCCGATTAGATGTATTTATTAAATACATCCTAATGAGTTTCTGAGTGTCTGCTCCGTGTCAGGCATGGTTCTAACCACTCACCCCTGAAACTGACTTTGCTCCTTGCGAGTTGGGGGACGTGCTGCCGTCTTACAGAGTTAGCTGGGATTTGGAGGGCAAGGTGCTGGCACAAGTCCCCAGAGAGACAGAGGCAGGGTTTAAAGCCAGGTTTCCCATCTCTCCCCTAGTAGATGGTGAGGGCAGGTGCAGATGCCCAGAGTGTGGTTGGCAGTTGCCCTCTGGGGACCTGTCGGGCCAGAGATGCCAGCTTCATCCCATGGCATTGATACGGCCAGCCTTGCGGCCTGAGGGGTGTCCATACCACAAGAGTGGGGGTCTCAGTGTCTGCCTCCATCTCCCCCAGAGGTGCGTGCTGTCACTCCCAACTCATTCTGGCTTATTTGGTGTTGGAGGAGGGAGAGGACAGCTGGCCCAGGACCTTCTAATTATAGCTGTTGAAGTATGCGAATCGAGGCCTGGAGTGCCCACCACCATGTCATGGTTTTTTCTTACAGACAAATGAATCCTTTAACCCTTCTCCTGAGCTCCAGCCCATCCCGTTCACTGCCCCCACTCCCCCGCCCACCCACCCGCTTTCTGGGGGAGGTCGACCTGGGACCTCCGCTCCATGTCTTACCTTGGCTGCAGGCGCTCAAGTGGATCTCCTCTGGTCCTGTGCGACTCGAACCTCACTGCTTTCTGAAAAGTTATTGAATACATTTGTTTCTTTAATTATGAAAGTCCAGTCTTTTTGACACACATACATTTTCCACAGTGGCAACCACAGTGCACACACAGCCTTCCAGCCTGCTCTGCTTGCCTGCCTCTCTGTCGTGAGCTGCTTTTTTCCACGTGGCTACCTTGGGGACCCCCCTGATGTTTCCTGAGTGCTTACTATATGCCAAGCGCTTCTTTCAGCATTTTACAGGTTTTCACTCGTTCAGTCCTTCTGAGAAGCTGTGAGGGCCTTCCTTTCATGATCCCCATTTTTCAGAAGAGGAATCCAAGGCCCTGGGTCATACATCCACCCACCTGGGCCCACGCTCACTGAGGCAAGGCCTCAGTCCAGCCAGAGCATCAGCCTCGCTGGCGTCCTCACTGGCCTTGGCCCTGCAGCCTTGCTTCTCAGCTCCTGGAGGCCTCCTGCTCTTGATGGATACCCATTTTGCTCTCTAGCAAATGGATGGAAACATTTATGTGAGTCTGGCTTGGTGGGGTGGCTCACACCTGTAATCCCAGCATGTTGGGAGGCCGAGGTGGTTAGATCATTTGAGGTCAGGGGTTTGAGACCAGCCTGGCTAACAGGGTGAAACTCTATCTCTACTAAAAATACAAGAATTAGCCAGGCATGGTGGTGTGCGCCTGTAATCCCAGCTACTCGGGAGGCTAAGGGAGGAGAATTGCTTGAATCTGACAGATGGAGGTTTCAGTGAGCTGAGATTGTGCCACTGAACTCCAGCTTGGCCAACAGAGTGAAACTCCATCTCAAAAAAAAAAAAAAAAGTTTCTGTGAGTCTGGGCCGGGCTGTGCTGGACTCTGAGTAAATCTCTTAGCTGCCTGAGCTGCAACTCCTTCATCCTGACCCCGCCACCTGCATGGGCCATTCTAAGTGGCTGCGTCCCAGGCTGGTCATCCCTTCCCCGATCATCCCAGCCCCGGGGGTTTTTGTCCTGCTCCCTCATAGTAATCTGCAGTGGTGACTCCTTTGTCTCATCCTCCCTTGGCACACAGTAGGGCTGCTGGCAGCAGGTGAGGCCTGGGACAAGGGCTCAGAGAGTCAGGATGGGCTTTGGCCATGCCACTAAATAACGAGTTTCTCTTCTCGCCCTCCCAGGTGGTGTGAAGGGGAGACGGCTGCCTTCTCCTGGGAAGGGAGCAGATGCCTGGCCCAGGACCAAATCAAAAGGTCTGAAAAACGATATTCCTTTTCCTAATGTGTAAATTTACACAAATAGCACATTTGTAGATTCCTTAGAATGGAACTAACTGAAGCCCTTCATTCTGCAGCTGAGGCTCACTGCCCCCAGTGGGCAGTGGGTCGGGGTGTTCCTGAGGCCAGGTCGTGGCCCAGCCCTGCTGCCCCCAGGATGGCCCCTGGCTTGGAGGGGTGTGGGGCCCCGTTAGTCTGACGTTGAAGAAGACCAGCCTTCCAGTCTCGCTTGGTGGCCTGCCAGGTATGCGTGCTCTTCTGTCTTCCACCCAACACCCACTTTGGGGAGGCGGGGTCTGAGAGGAGTGCGGGTCATATAACCTTAACATAGTATATTATCCCAAAATCCAATACCCCTGTTACTCTTGTCTGTCTGCTATGTGAAACCAAGGGCGGTGTTAAAGTTTATCACCATGATATACAGATGTGCGTGGGGACATCTGGGATGGGGCTCGGGGGTCCACCTGGGGGTCAGAGAGGGCAGACTCTGCTTAGCGGAGATGGATGACTGCGGACGTGTGGCTATAAATCATCCTCCTCCTCTAACATAGGGTGGGGATGGGAACTTTCAAGAGTTGCCTGGATTGATACCTTAAAGGAAACAAAATATAAAATGCTTGGCACATAGCAATGCTCAACACATGTAGAAAAGGCACTTATTTTAGGTGGCTCTGCCCCTAAATGGCCCTTTTGTAAGGCCTTTTGCAATCCAAAGGGAAGATGAGGGGAACAGGGTCGGGGCAGAGGGGAAGGGCGCCGTTAGGTTTCTCGGGCATTTTCTCCAGGCAACAGCATGTCTTTTATGGGCGCTGCCTAGGTTTCTGTAGGCTTTGAGAGGAATGGAGTGTTGCATGCAGGTAACCTCAGTCTGGGCACTGCATTTTTATTTACCATAAAAAATTTTGTATTTGCTGGGTGCTGTGGCTCACACCTGTAATCCCAGCACTTTGGGAGGCCGAGGCATGTGGATCACTTGAGGTCAGGAGTTCCAGACCATCTTAGCCAACATAGTGAAACCTCGTCTTTACTAAAAATACAAAAAATTAACTGGGCGTCATGGCACCCACCCGTAGTCCCAGCTACTCGGGAGGCTGAGACAGGGGACTCGCTTGAACCCAGGAGGTAGAGGTTGCAGTGAGCCGAGATCGTGCCATTGCACTCTAGCCTGGGTGACAGAGCGAGACTTTGTCTCAAAAAAAAAAAAAATTTTTTTTTTATATTTGCAAAACCAACACCCCAAGGTTTTCACAGGAACCAAACCCAGTCCAAAATATAATAGCAGAGCCTCGTGTGCAGGAAAGGCGATTAAGAGCGAGGCAGGGTGGCCGAGCGCTGGTTAACCTGTCTCCCATTTCTTCCGCGCAAAGTCATGGTTGAAAATAGGTGTCTGCCTGGCAGAGGGGAAAGAAGTTCTCGAAGGCCCCTGTCTGCATTAGCTCAGTAAGAAGGGAGACATTGAACCCATGAACCAATTAGTGGCTTGTGCAGATGGAGACAGACTGAACAGGACGGCGGTGCCAGCTGATCGGGGCGTAAAGGCGGCTGAGTTTTGTGTTCTTGGTATCTCACAGCCTCAGTGCCTCCCTATGTAGGCGGAGTATGCTTGTCACATCCTTGTCTCATGTGTAACCCGTACCTGTTTGAGGATTCTGAGAGCCTGTGACGACTGCAGGGGACCTGAAGCTTAGTGTGCAAGCAGGAGCAGGGGACAGGGCGTGGTTCTGACTGGGAGCCAGGGTGCCTCCTCCGGACATGGGGGTGGGCAAGGGTGGGCAAGGTTGCTTCCCGTTCCCCTGGAGCTGGAAGGTTAGAAACGGCAGTGCCGTTTAGCCACAGTCCCTGTGGGTTAGAGTCAGGAGGAAACATGGCAGTCGTGTATTTTGCACAGGAATCAAGCTGTCAGGGGTGCGGGGAGGCCCCAAGCTCCGTGCCAGCAAGCCTGCTTGGCTGTGAATGCGAGCCGCCGGCCGCAGCTCTCCAGAGCTCCTCGTCCCCACGCCCGGCCCTATCTCATGTCACATTCCCCTGAGGTCTCATTCCACTCGGCTAATCTCCAAGAACTCCGGCCAGGGCATTGGCTTTCGGGTCCTCTTAAAGACCAAAGAGGAAAGCGCTCCCCCGTGAGTGCCAGGCAGCTTGGGAGGGATTTGGGGCTGTGGGTGGGGAAATCACAGCCCCGGGCACACACCTGCTGGCCCCATGTCACTGACAGTCTGCTCAGAGGCTTGGGGCTCCAGTTAAAGCACATAAATATTTTTTTTTTTAAAAAGATATTTGGATAAAATAAATTCCCTGTGTCTGCAGAACTTGCTCTGGGCATATGTACCCACTACCAATCCATTAGCAACCACGCTCTTTGCTTTGTATTTGTAAAAACAGAAACCAAAACAACCCACAAGCAAACAAACAAATTAACCCCTCACACACAAAATGCTTATTCTAATTATGCAAGAAATGCATTGATAATTAGTACACTCATTAGTAAAAATCAGACCCCTCGGATAAAGCCATCCTAATGCTCCCCTCAGTCCCTCCCCAGCATCCCCAGCAAATGAACTGCTCTCCTCAGTTTCAGGAGCCTGGCTCCAGATATTTTCTCTGTGCATTTGCATATGTAGATGCATATCCCTCTAAAATCTATTCCTTTGTTTATTTTTTACGTAAACTATATCATAGTATATATTTCCTCTCCAAGCAGCTTGCGTTTCTTCCTTCTGCCTAGAGATAGTAAAGACCACTATTCCTTCTAACGGCGCCCCAGTGTCCCGTGGGCTGCGCACACTGGAGTTTATTTAATCACCTGATTCCTGGCATGAAAGCCTCAGGTCCTTTTCCCCAGTGGGGGCAACTTGTGGAGGCAGGTGTAAGTAATTTCTGAGATTTGGGTTTGGGGAGTGGGCTCATGAGGGTATATGACATTATTACAGATGAATATATCAGTGCATAAATTAGCAAAATAAGAGGGGGCCTTTCTGGACCAATGATGAGACAGTGTTTCTGAACAAAGGATGATGATTAATCCAGCTCTGCACAAAATACTGAGGTCCATTAGAAGACAATAGGTCTTGGCTGCTCATTCTTTTTAAGAGCTGTTTAATATTCCATGGTATGTATATGCCATTGTTGATTTTGCTCTCTTCTACTGTTGAAAACCCCAGCTGAAAGTGCTCCGGGGGCGGGGAATGAGCAGACAGAAGCTTTGGTCATGGTCCGAGCTGTCAGAGTGGGTCACCGATTCATAGTTGTTCATTAAGTCATTTTTTTAAAAAACAGAATACGTAAAATAAAAATGGTCTTTATGCAGATCAATGAGGAAGCGTGTCACAAATTGAGGTTTTCATTAATACAATTCTGCTCAACTGATGCCTGATAAAAAAGATCTAAGCTGTTCCCCCTTTTTTTGTTGTTACCAATGACACTGCAGTGAGCATTCTTGCGGCTAACTCTGTAAACACATCCTCGACTGTTCCTTTCCCCCAGCTTCTTAGAGATGGTGTGGTGGGTTAAAATTGTTTGCAAAAGTTTATTTTCATGGAGTGATCTTTCTAAAATGGCATTTTGACCTTGTTCCTGTCTTGCTTTAAAGCCTCCATCTGACTTTCTGGAGCTGCCGGATGGAGTCCAAAAAATAAGGCCTTATCCTGGCATGGAAGACCCTTTAGGGTCTGGCTTGGAACTTGGCAGCCTCAGCCCCTCGCCTCTCCCGTTCCCTCCAGGTGCACCTCGCCTCCACGGAGCTCCCTGCTCCTCTCAGGGTTCCCTGCTTGGCCATGCCTTTTTAGGCAGCTTCTCCGCGGCCTTAAAGAGCAGGCTTGCAATATTCCTGTTGGGGAGCTCAAAGTTACCTGTGGCCCCAAAACACCATGTTCAAAAGCACAGCAAAGCCCTGTCCCTGGAATTGGGATGCCTCATTGACATGCTCTTCCCAGTTAAAGGGAATGTTTTGCATTTTTCTAGAATTAATGAAAATATTCATCAACCCCTTCCTTTGTCCCTTTCTAGAGCCCGGGGCACCCCAGTGTTGCCTGGATCTGACTCTGCCTCAGTGAAAACTGCCTCGAATTCTTTCTTGCACCGATGGGCAGATGGGCAATGTCCGAGGATCATGTTGTCGGCCCTGTGGCGTGGGGTAAGTCTGCAATGTTGTAAAGCTGCAAACAGCCTTCTGGGTGGGGTCAGGCTGGCACCCCCCCACTGCCCCAGCCTGTTCCATGCCAGGTTCCCCTGCCTGCTGTGTGCAGGGCCCCATAACCCAGGGTTATGGGGTGCATGGGCAGGAGTTGCATCTCAGTGTTGTGAGTTCTGAGGATGACATTTGGGCGTGATTATAGGTTGGAAATGGCTGATTGCCATTATGGCTCCTCCTTGCCAGGGGTCTGGACCCAAAACAGGAGAAGGACATGTGACGACTGGAGTAACGGTGAGGGGCTCTGGGGTAAGACAGGGCTGAGAGGGAGCGTGTGGACCTCTGGGACAGAGTTATATTCTAGAAAGAGCGCAGGCTCTGGGGGAGAGGGGCTATGAGGCTAGGCAGCATCCCCCTTGGGAGCTTGTCAGGAGTAGCAGGAGCCACTGGCAGTGTTCTGGGCTTTTCGTCCCTTTTCTTCCCTCCCAGGGGAGGGGAGACGAGGCACTGTAGGGAGCGAGCCACCCTGAGCACAGACCCAGCTACGAACAGACATCGGGCTGCATGTCCTTGGCAAATCCCCAAGTGTTTCTGTGCCTTGGTTTCCTGATATTAAAAAAAAAAAAAGACTCATAATCTCTCTCACACAGAGCTATTGAGATCTCAATGAGGAAATAACGCAAATAAATCATCCAGCACAGCAGCCAACACACAGTACCCGGCAAAACTCGGTGGCTCTCTGCATCTTACCCGTCACAAAATGCTTAGCCCCTCCTGGAGACAGGCAGCCTCTCCCTTTCAGGGCAGGGAGACCCAACAGAGGAAAACAAAAACTCCAGAGAGAACGCGAGGGGGAAATAAAAGCTGGCGCTTCACCCCCTCCCAGACACCTTCCCAGGGAAACAAACGTGTACCTTCCCCAACACCTGGGGGCCAGGGAAGGGGTGCCCTACTGCTTTTCATCCGGCTTTCCCAAAAAGTTTGGGAAGAGTTTATTTTTACGTAAATAACATATAAAAAGTCAGAGTGCTCCTTGGGCAGATTTTTTGAGGCTCATATTTTATAGACTTTGGCAAGGGTCGCTCAGAAGGAACAGTGGTTACAGTCTCCAGAGGTTCATAATTCCTGGAAGAACTTCTGGCTAAACCTGACTTCTCCTAAATTTCACAGAAAATTCTCCCTGGGCTGGGCTCAGCCTAAATGAGCTTTTTGTGCGTTGGTCCAGCCGCACTAGTGGGTGTATGACTTGCACGTTGCCTTTACACAAAAGTGAACCTCCTCGGCCACTGTGCACAAAGGCGCCTCTCTCCGAAATGTTTGCTTTATTTACTTGGGAGCGTGAGCCTGGTTGGGCACGTCTGACATGGGGGATATTTCTCCGAGGCTCTATGTAGGGCTGCCCAGGTCTCTGCAGTTTCTTCCTGCGCTTCAGGCAGAAACCCATGTCCTAACTTCCTCCAGCACAGGGCAAGGGATCCAGAGCAAAAAAGGGGTAGGGACACTTGTCCTCTCCCTGGCCGGCAAGGGCTAAAGAGCTTGCTACCCCATGGCGGTTGCCTCTAAATAGGGATTTGGGTGGGTGACTTTTCACATCTATGCCAAAGCCCTTCAGAACTGTTTCTGCACCACCAGCTATCCTGAACCAGAAATCCCTGTTCACAGAATTTCCCAGGTGGGTGCCTCTTGTTCTGCACCCCTCCCCCATTTATGTAAACGTCACTCTCCCAAACATTTTCACACCAGCAGCTTCAGATCGCCCCTTTCATAGGTTAAAACAGCAACACCAACAAGACCAACATAAACGGAGGCTCTGAGAAACAGTTTTTCCTGAAGGGCTTGCAGTGCCCAGCCGAGCTGCCAGGGCCGTCTGTCTGTCTGTTCCCGGGAAGGCAAACCAGCCTGCACGCTCCACCAGCAACGCGATGCTGCCCCCCCACGGCGGGTCAGGGCAGCTGTGGCGACCCCAGGGCTGATAGATTGGGTTGTCAGGAGCGGGACAATGAGGCGGCAGTGAGGAAGGGTCTGTCCTTTAATGACTCTGCCGTCCTTGAAATTTTTCTGCCCCACAGAGGTGCATCTCTGCTCCTGGGGACCCTGGGCATTACACAGACAAGGAGCCCTGGCTGGCCTCACAGCCATCCCCCATATGCTCACACACACACGCACACACACATGCTGAGTGCCTGTGCTGGGAACAAAGGCAAGAAAACTCCTTTAGAAACTGCAAAACAGAGGCTTGTCTAGCAGAAGTCCCCTGATAAAGGCTCTGTCCACCCACAGTTCCTGGGAACCGAACCCCTGTGAATGGGCCAGAAAAGGTGGCTCCTGACCACAGTGTGGGCTGCATTCATCAGCAGGCAGGCCCCCCAGCCCTGCTGCTGTGCGAGGAGCTTTCATGAGTCCCCAGAACATCCAAGTCACAGTCTGGCAGCTGGCTGTCTCTGTGGCTGCTGCTCAGCCTCCAGAATAGGGCCCCTGAAACTGCCAGACCCCCTCCCTCTACTCATTCCATCAGTCTGCCAGCCTGTTGTCCCAGAGGGGACACACAGGCCAGCTCTGTGGGCCCAGGAGCCAGGGAAGGTGCTTGGCCACTCTAGGTGTCCTGGCCCTCGAGAGGGGAGTTGGCTGCAGGACAGTCCTCACCTCCCTCCACCAAGCCCTGGGCACTCACCCCCATTCTCTGCTCCTCTCCCTCATTGCCTCAATGGGACAGAGGCACCCCGCCAACCATCTCTGTGCCTTTGCCATTTAGCCCAGGGCAGGCTACTTGGGAGAGGCTGTACAGCCTTGCACTGACCCCTACCTGGTCCCCTTTGGCCACCTCGCTCACTTGCCCACTCGCCTGCCCGGGAGTTGGTGCTGTGGGAGCTTCCTAAAGGCCTAAACACGTGGGCTGCCAGCCCGGGCAGGAAGCCATGCTGCAGCCTCCTCGGCCATGCACCAGCCTGCCTGTCTCGGCTCGGATGCCTCCTGTAACAGGGAGCTCCCTCTCCCTGCAAGCAGCCTGCTCAGGGCTGGCTTACGGAGCTGCTTTGCTGAGCCCTCCCCCGCCCTTTGCATCTGCCTTCTCCTTGGCTGTGCGGCAGTCCCCTAGCCCCCTCTGCCCTCCGATCTCTGCAGGCTGCAGGCTCCCTCTCTTTTCAGTCTTCTCCTTTCTGTGCTGAATAGCACAGCCCCCACCAATGGTGGAAACAGGTTTGGGGGCCTCTGGACCTCTGCTAACACCTCTGCCTCTGCCCCTCTAGACCTGGGACAGAGCCCTTTGCCCTGCTGTTCTGCAGGAAGCCCAGGGGAGGGCGTGGTGCTCCCCTCCTGTGGCCAGCTGCTCCGTGTCTATCTGTTCAGCAGCTTCTGAGCCCTCTCGGGCTGTTTTACGGCCCCTTTTCCAGTTGCCAGGGAGAACGCTCTCTATGCAACCCCCTGCCTTTTCTGCAGGAGCTGCTGGACTCCTGGCTAGCCTGGTCAGCCCTGTAGCAGAAGCAGGAGCCGCAGCAGGCAGCCGCGGCAGGGCTGGGGTCCCCTGAGCCAGACAGACCGGCTCTCTAGCTGCAAGACAATTCCCTTTACTTTTCAGAGTCTCGGCTTTTCCCCTGTGAAATGGAGATGAGAGTTTCCCCGTCACCGGCTTGAAGTGAGGACTAAATGAGATAAGTGTAGCCTTGCACACATCAGACACTTCATCAGTGCTTGTGCAGTAGACGGTGGGACCCAGGGGGAGAGAGGTATGTAACAAGTGTCGCAAGACAGAAAACAACCTGGCCTTTCAAGACCCTGCTCCAAATACAAACGGGGACCTCTCCTGGCAGAGTCCCCTCTGCTGGCTTAATCACACAAATCAAGTCAGCCGGAGGCAGCCCCTGGCCTGAAGAACTCACAGTGGATGCAGCAGGCGGCAGAAATGACATGCAGAGCCCACATCTGCATTTAATAGACTGAGAATTTGCATTGTATATAACAGCACGAGGGGTAAAGCATGAAGGCATAAAGGAACATTTTTCCCAGCAGCTTCCTTGAAGGGCCAGTTTAGTCAGGGAGGGGTCTGGGGAGGAGAAACCCAGTGGGGTCCGGGCATCCTGTAGACTATAGAATAGACACCCATCCACACACTCGTCCCCCAAGCCACCGCACCGTGCCTACCTTCCCCGGGCCCAGTCCCGAGCGTGAGGCTGGGATGAAGTGATGCCGGTGGCTTCCTGTCGTCGAAGCTCAGTCGGTCTGGTGGGGGAAAGAAGCAGGGACTAAGTCACTGGAAATCGAGGTGATCAAGAGGGGATGAAGGCGTGGAGATTACGCAGCCCCATCTTGGAGCCAAGTCCAGAACTGGGTTGTCTGCAAAGAACTCACCCGGGCAATAACCCTGCATACTGGTCTCATGGGCTCCATTAGATTGATGAGGAAACTGAGGCACAGAAAGGCAAAGTCCTATACTCACCGTCTCTCAGCTGGTGTGAGGCTGGGCCAGGATGGAACCCCAGACTCTCCGAGGCTCCCCACCACACCCTGCTGCTGAAGGCTGCTCAGCGAGCCTGTGCCGAGTGCTGGGGGGGTGTGGGTGGGCAGGGGACGGATTGATTAGTTATAAGCACCTCCCAGCGGTGCTTGAGATCCCAGCTCCTCTGTGGCCCAATCCGTTTGAAGGGCAGATTCAAAATTAGGTGGTAGCACCTATGGGCAGAGGCTTATGAAAATGGCATTATTAACCTGATGTGGAGAGGGCCCTGCCTGTCTGCAAGTAGATTGCAGATAGAGACAGAGGGGGCTGGGCTTGTTTGTGTGGACAGTGAGTTAGAGAGGACGCAGAACATCCAGGGGCCCTCCGGGGCTTCCGGACAGGGAGAACCAGATCTGGAGGGGCTGGGGCTGGGCAAGTGGGAGAGGGAAGAGGGGGCACGGCTTAAGGGCGGCCCCGGCACCTCAGGGAAATGCCCCAGGCTGGACTTGGAGGAGGCTCTGCAGCCTTGACTCTGACACAGACAGGGACTATGGCCCTCCCCGCACCTCGGTTTCCCATTTGGGAGATAAGAGATGGAAACCAAACACCATTTCAAGAAAAGCCCCCCTTCCCACCACCTTCCCGGCCCCCCTCTTCCCCCACCACCACGATCGCGGTTGCCAGACACCTGTCTGCTTGTCAGAGCAATATTCAACAGGAGAGTTCCTTCCGTTCCTTCCTGGAGGGAGAAGGGAGAAGTGTGGACGGGGAGAGGGGAGGGGAGAGGTGCCCCCCCCAACTCGGAGAGGCCGCTGAGCGGAGTTCTGCTTGGGTAGGAGTTGGGCCACCGAAGATTTGTGCCAACTCACGGTGCGGTGGAATCAGACAGTCTGAATTCTTCAGACACCAGCCAGGCGTCTGTGGCGCCCCCACGTGCCACAAGGGGGCTGCCTGGGCCACATTTTTGAGCCCGAAAAGTGAGGAGGGGGACAGGCAAGAGGGGCCGGCGCTTTTGCTCAGGCAGCGGCGCTTTTAACTGAGACAGATGCGTGCGGTCCAGGGGAGCCGGGAGCCCGGGAGCCGAGCCGGGGCTGGGGGCTGGGGGCGCCGGCGCGGTGGTCGCGGCGGGGGCGGGGGCTGCAGGGCGCCCCCTCCCTCACGGCCGGCTGCGCTGCAGTGCAGCGGGCTGCGGGAGCTGCCCCGGAGCGGTCCTGTCCGGTGGCTTTCCAAAGTGGGGAATGAGACGAGGGAGGGAGGGAGCGCTGGCTTCCAGGCGCTGCGTGGTGGCCGTGCGCCCAGGAAGCCGAGGGGCCAGAAAGAGAAGAGTGGGGGAGGAGGCCGGGCGTGGCGGCCGGACCCAGGGTAGAGGGAGGTGGGTGTGGACCTGGGGTGGGCGCCTGTCAGCTCGCAGCCCATGAAGGACGGAGGGAAAGGAGGGCTCCAGAGATACGGGGAAGAGTGGGGCTGAGCATAGCCAGAGCGGCTTGGCACACAGTTTTAGGGTAAAACCATCAACTCTTATCTTTCAAAAAAATAAAAATAAAAAAAGTAAAAGCCAGAAAAAAGAAAAAAAAGTAAAGAAAGCATTTGAAAGCTAGACAGCTGAATCCTTCCCAGCATGACTGAGCCGGCCACCCCAGAGTCTTCCTTCTAAGCCAGTCTAATGGGACACTACGTTGTCCCCGTAACCAAAGTGGGACCAGGGTCCCAGGGAAGGGCTCGTCAGGCACCACTCCATCTCGAAGAGAGGTACCCTCAGGCCCTTTTCCAGCCAGGGAAGGGCCTTGGGGTCAGGGAGGGAACTGGAGGGCTTGGGGAGGTGGGCTGGGAGTGAGGGTGGGGTGGGGAGGGCTGGGTGGGGGTTTCAGGGAGTCTCTGGGCTTCTGCAGCAGTCTGCACCCTGGTACATCGTCCTCAGTCCACCGAACGCGGAATGGTTCTCTTCCCTCTGGATCCAGCCCCTCTGGGTCCCTTTTCACTCTGGGGAATTTGCCCCTGTGAATCAGTTCCCTGCTATCTGGCAAGCTTTCTCTCATCCCCCAGGCCCCTTTGCTCTTGTAAACGGCACCCTCCACCCCCAGCCCTTCATCTCCCGCACTGTATGTTCACTTGTTGATTTAAAACTCCCTTTATTATAGAAAATTTCAAACAACACAAAAGTAGAGAAAATAGTACATATTTTTACACAGTTTGCTCAATTTTCATATTGTCATCACCCAGAAATGGTTGCCATCACACCCTGCCCCCTCTTGTGTCATCTAAACCCTAAACTCTGCCTCTGTTCCTGTGCCTCCGCTCCTACCCCTGGACTACTTCCAAGTGAATTTCAGACACCATATTGTTTTCTCTGAGCATTTTTTGTTTGTATTTATAAATAAGAAGCTTTTCTTTCTTAAAAATATAGCCACAATACCATTATCACAGATAAAAAATTAATAGCATTTCCTTAATATCATCCAACATCTCTGCCGCATTCAAATACTCTCGATTGACTCATAAATTTCTTTTACAGTTGGCTTGGTCAAGTCAGTGTTGAAAGGATCTACTGCTCTTTCAAGGGGATCTGGGGCTCTAGAAGGTAAGTAGGGCCACAAATTTAGGGGTTGAATGTCTGCCTGGACCTTAAATGAGAAACCCAATCTCAGCAGAGCCCAGTGTTCTCACTGCAAAATGGGGTAAGTTCAGCCTCATGTCTAATATGTTAGAAACACTCAGCAAACAGTAGCTGCTAGAGTAATTCTTTTTCCCAGAAATCTTCAAAGGGGAGTTGGGCAGGGGGAGGCAGACAGGCAAAACACAGCTGGCTATTGCCCATGAAACAAAGGTCCTGGCAGCCCAGGCTCTCTGAGTGATTAAAACAGCCCTTGCACGCATCCCAAAAAGGGCAGCCTACAGTCGGGGGTCTGGTTCGCTTGGACCTCCTGGCTCACCGTTCAGCTGCCTGACCTCAGCGGTTGTGACCTGGGACCAACAGGGGACCCCGGCAGGTGCCTATCCACTAGATGGCACTCTCTGCTCTGAGTCCAGGGGGGACCACCACCCCAAACCAGTTTGGCCACTGCCCAGCCCAGGGTGCCGCCGGAGAAAGCACGCCACTAAAACATCGCAGATAATTTCTAAAAAGCACTTCTCAACATGTCATGCAAGATGCGGTGGCTTTTTTTCCTTGCATAAATCCCAACCAGACTGCAGAAACAGAGGGAATGAACATTTAGTGACTTTGCTGAGGCCAGACACGGGTATGTCTCTACTCTCTTTAAATCCTCACCTTGGCAACATCTGATTTCCCTTGATTTTACAGACTAGAGGACTTTGAGGTTAGTAACTTGCCCAAAGTCGGCTGGGAAGCAAGACCCAGGATTCCAACTTAGGTCTGTGTGATTCCTCTGCAAAATGGAGAGGTGCAAGGATGGATGTGAGGTCTTTGGCGGGATGGATGGCTGCATCAAGGTGCACGCATAGCTGGAGAGATGGCTGGCTACCTGATGAAAGCTGGTAAGATGGATGAGTGAACTGAAGCACAGGTGGTGGAAGGAGAGAGCAATGAGAGAGAATAGTCAATTTCTCACTAAGATCAAAGGCTTACTTGATCTTTGAAGAGAGGTTCCCTCTGAGTGGAGCTTGCTGGTGAAGCTCCTGCCTTCTGTTCTGCGTCTGAGCGCACTGGCTGGCTCAGGTGGCTGTGGGACAACAAGTGGGATGGCAGCTTACAGGGACCAAGTCCTAGCTGCAGTGCTCCGTGAGCTGCTCAGTGGCAACTCCCTGTCTCTGCTGTTTTTACGCAGCGCTGAGGAAGAGCAGGCATCTGCCTTTCCACTTGCTCTCCTGGATGACTAAGCCCTAAGCCTCAACCGCATACACAGCCCTTCATTGGCACTTGGCATAATTTTACCTCCTCTAAATCATCACAGCCACCCTCCATGATAGCAATTTCCATTCTTAATTAAGCAAAAGGAAACCAGAGTGTAGGAGTGGTAAGTGACTTACCCGAAACCATAGAGGGAGCCAGTGCGGACCCAGCATTTGAACTCTAGTCTTCTTTCCTTCCAAACTCACCCCTCAACCTGTTTAGCTCCTTTTCTTTGACCATGTCTGAAAACCTCTGCATGCCTTGGGGTTCACTCATGTTGGACTCACTCTCTTGGTCTGTCAGTGAGCTGAACTTCTCATCCAATCAAATCCAAGTTTATTTCCCACGTAATATCTCTAGTGTGTTCTGTTTGTAATGACCACACAAACAAGGACCACACATATCACTACAGTACAATTAATCAACTCAAAGTAGATTCCTGGCACCTCACATTCTGACTGAATGCTAATGGTAGCGTATGTAAAAGTGACTCCTGTGCAAGGCAAGGAGGGAGGGGACGGGACGGAGGTCTGAATGGCCATCAGTGAGCCTCGCTGCATATAATGTTAGCAGACAGGCTTTGAGAACCTGCTCAGAATGTGTGGGCCCTGCCTCACACATTCCAGGTGCTAAGGTTTCCACCTCAGCTGTGCCATTGACTACTTTTGTGAGTTTGGACAACATATTTAATTTCTGTGCCTCAGTTTCTTCAGTTGTACCAGTAGTACCTGACTAATACTGATAGTACCTTACTAATTAGTACTTGAGAATTAAATCAGGCAAACATATAAATTCCTTAAAAGAGAGCATTCCAGACTGGGCAGGGTGGCTCATGCCTGTAATCCCAGCACTTTGGGAGGCTGAGGTGGGAGGATCGCTTGGACCCAGGAGTTTGAAAGCAGCCTGAGACACATAGGGAGACCCCCCAATCTCTACAGAAAAGGTAAAAAATTATCTGGGTGTAGTGGTGCACCTCTGTGGTCCTAGTTACTCGTGAGGCTGAGATGAGAAGATTGCTGGGAAGTCAAGGCTGTGCTGCTGCGCTTCAGCTTGGGTGACAGAGGGAAACCCTGTCTCCAAAAAAAAAAAAAAAAAGAATGCTTCCAGATGATGAGCATTCAACAAATGTTTACTTACAATGAAAATGACAGTTGTTGTAAGTATTGTTATTGAGATGTCATTTGATATCATTGTCAGGTAAGAATCAATGGCTGAACAGGTGCTCAGAGAGGCCTGTGAGCTTGTCTTTGGAGAGAGAATCAATGGAATTGAAACAGAAATACTAATTTAAAACTAGAAGTTCTAGTGATGGAAGTAAGAGTTCCATACAGCGAAGAGACATGATCCATCTAAGGAAAGATTAAGCCCTAGGAGCGGTGAAACTCCTGTGAAGGAATTTCCCTGCCGTGTAGGGAGTTACACCGGGGTTGGATGGGAGCTGGGGAGAAGCTGAGTAGGTAAAAGGTGAGACAAATGATTAAAAGTCTCTTAATTGAAGTTTCTGAGGTTGAAATTCATTAAACGTCATGGTTTCTAGCAGTAGTGGGCAAGGTTTTCCAGTTCTCATGTATGATTTCATTAAACTTCTTTCCCTACCTGTTTTTTTGGGGGAGAAAATAGTTATTTTAGAAACATTTTTCAACTTGTTCTTTTGGAGGCGGCCAGCTAGAAAAATTCTGAATCTCTTACCATGTGGGGCTTGAGGACTGGGTGGCCTCCTCCCATTCCTGGTATAGCATGTCTGTAACCTGAGCCCAGGTGGCATGTGGCTGTGTGTGGGGTGGCTCTGGGGGGGCCATCGGATACCCTAACTGCCAGGTGGGAGGATATGGGTTTAGCATGTTGAGTTTCACTGTGATCCCAGCATTGTCTGACTCCAGAGTCTGGGCACGTCCTGTGAGAACTGTAACCGCTACAGCTCCTCCAAGAAGGACAGTTTATTCACTCATCCAGGTCTAATGGTACAGCCTGGGGATTCCCTCTGCTTTTGGGGCTGCCTGTGCGGGAGGTCAGAAAAACCTTCACACCCGCCTCGTGGTTTACTCTCACACTCGAGTTGCGGGCTGGCGGTGGGAGTTGGCTGCCAAAACGAGGCATGGGGAAGAAGAGGAAAGGGCAGCTCCGGAGCCACACTGCCCGTGTTCGCCTCCTTGGCTCAGCATCTCCTTGCTGGGGGACCACTTACAAGTCATCTGACTTCCCCGAGTCCGTTTCCTTAGGTATAAAATAGCACTAGTCATGTCTTTGCTCAAATACCATCAGCGCAGTGAGCCTTCCTCCCTCGCACCACTGCCTGCCCCCTTCCTGCTTTATTTTCCTCCCCAGTTCTCACCGTCTTTTATCCCATGCATTACACTCACCTTTTCTGATGATCTTCTGCTCCTATCCACCCACAGGGATGTGAATTCTCATAGGATGGGGATCTGTCCGTGTTGCCCATTGCTGTATCCCCAGCACTCAGACCCGGTACCAGTACAAAGTGCATGCTCAAAAATGGCGGGGGGGGGGGGAAATTTATAAGATACTGTTGAATTGTATCCACCCCAGAGGTGTGTCAATGTATGCAAAGTAGGCAGCGTGGTGCTTGGTACAGAGTATGCATTCAATAAATATTGGCTAATTATGATTATTATGTCTAATTCACAGGACTGTTGTGAGAATCAAACGAGATAATGTATGCTGAGGCATGCTGTGAACACTACGTGCTGGGTACAGGAGGTACAATATTAACGATCCTTGCTGCTTGGAGGGAACCTGAACTTAAAGTGTGATGCTTTTCATTTTCACATCACTTGGGAGGGAGGAAAGGCTGGTGGGAGGATTGCCACCTGAGGCTCAGGGAGGGGACAGGCCTTCCCCGAGGGACCCCACAGTATGAAGAAGGCAGAAGCCAGTCCCCACACCAGTGGTCTTCCCATGACTCCCTTATGAAAGTCCCCCAGTGGACGGATTGATGTATATATGACAATATCCACGTAGACCATAACTCTATATAATATACAGAATTATTTTTAGGTCCCTGAGTCGCTCTGAGAACAGTTGTGCCAGGTGATGCCTGCCCAGGACAGGCTGGGAGGGTAGGAAGGAAACTGGCTGTGTATGGGTGGTGAGGCCCATAGTGAAGCCTCCTTTGGTTTCTTTTTTTTTTTTTTTTTAATTTTTTTTTTCCCATTTATTTATTTTATTGCATTTTAGGTTTTGGGGTACATGTGAAGAACATGCAAAATTGTTGCATAGGAACACACGTGGCAGTGTGATTTGCTGCCTTCCTCCCCATCATCTTGGAATCAAGTTGGACATCAAGAATCTCATGGCATAGACTTCCCCAAGGGCAGTCCCATTTCACAAAATGAATTTTCATTTTCCAAAGCTCATCCCTTAGTTCGATTTCTGTTTTTCAGGGCATTTGTTTAAGCTCTGATGGCATGTCCAGAAAAGAACAGACCCCAACAATTTCCTGCCCGAGTCCCATCCTTCCCTCAAAGCCTTGGCTTGACCTGAGCATTGAGCTAATTCATTTCTTTGATCAAACTGGGGACTGTCTGAGCAGTGGGGTGGGCAGCATGGGACAGGGATAGGGTGGGTGTGTACAGGTGTGCAAGGCGGGCTACTTGAGGGGCGGGCGATAGTTCAGGTCACCCTCCGGCTGGACCCACGAGGGCGCCGCGTTCCTCATTCTACAAATCGTACAAGTCGGGGCACAAGACAGAGAAGCCAGGTCACGTCTCTGCAGTTACACAGCTCACGAGTGCCTGCTGGGGTGGAACCTGGTCTGTCTGTCTGTCTAACACCAGAGCTGCTGCAGAGGGAGCCAAGATTTGGGTGAGGGAGGGGCTCAGAGGTGGGGTGGAGGATTTTTTTTTTTTTTAACCTGGTTGCCGTTGGTGTGCAAATAATAACGTAACTCTGCTTGGGGACTAGTGCTGTGACTATCTTGCTGAGGGCGAAACAGGCACAGAGAGATTCGTTTGCTTTCCTGATGTTGCCCAGCTAGTTGGGGGTTGAGGCTGGATTTGGGAGGTGGGCACTGACGTGTTAGCATATGTGCTGCAACCACTGGGCTCACTGGCTCGTGACATGAGCATAGGGGTCGAAGGCTCAGCCATCTGGATTTGAGGGCTTTTACCAGCTCCCCAGTGGTGGGTGTGCTCTGAGCTCAAGCTTGTATATTTCACACTCTCCCTTGACCCTTCTTTTTAGCCTTCAGCTGAAAAATCCTGCAAGCCACTGATCCACAGAAAATATTTAAGAATACATATATTACATATATCTTGTAAACTTATTTACATATATATAAACATATATTTGGAAAGGGATTGTATCCAGGAGATTTGGGAGTGATTGTTTAAGGTAGAGGGAGGCAGGGGCATGAGATGGGGAGGGATGGAGGTGGGAACCATCAGTGGTAATTGTCAAGCATGGTTTTTTTTTTTACGTTTAAAGATGTTTATTAAAGTGTTATTTTTTAAAATTTATTTATTTTACTTTAAGGGTGGTTTTAACAATCAATACACTAAGAGAGAGGCATGCTGGCAGCAAGGACAGGAGTGGGTCCTAAACCAGGGATGGTGATTAATTCTCCACAACCGAGGGACATTAAAAAAAGAGATCAGAGTGGTTTGTGGCTATTAATTTTGTTATTAAAAATAATCAAGGAATAAAGAAATAAGGTAAAAAAGGCCCCAAATGGAACAATTCTCAGAATGTGTTCTGGGCAAAGGATTATACCTAATCCAGGTCTGGTAACCTGACATTAACAAGCAGAAAAGGCCTCGTAGGCTATTTTCTTTCTTTTAATGGGCTTTATGTTCCATAGAATGGGCACACTGGGGTTTCTCTGCCAAAGAAGGTGACTGCGGACAAATAAAATCCGGCTTCATGGGCGTTGATTGAACAGTTAAAAATGAATGAATGCATTAACAAAATTAGAGACAGGCAAGCATGGACCAGTGATGGCAATGTGTTACCCACTCCCCAGCTTTATAAAGAGATCATTGATGAACAAGTATTGTATGTATTTGTATTGTATGTATTTAAGTTGGACAGTGTGACATTTTGATACGCACATATATTGTGAAATGATTACCGTAATCAAGCGAATTAACGTATCCATCACCTCATGTAGTTCCCTTTTTCTGTGTGTGCAGTGAGAATACTTAAGGTCCGGTAAACACCTTTCTATTCTCTGCCTCTATGAGGTTATTATAAAAGAAAACCCAGGTTCCAGGCTGTTGAGGCTGTGGGTGGGAAGTGTATAAACAACTATACAGAAGAGTCATTGGTCTTGGGCTGAATGGTGACTTGAAGGGTAGTGACTGCATAGTTAAAAATGACTTACATGAGTACAGAAGTGTCGAGTACCAAGAATGGACCACAAAGACAGCGTTTTATGACCTAAAGACTAAGATTTATCCATTTATGTACAATTGTGGACTATTTAAAATAAAACAAGACTTTTACCTCAGTGGATAGTGGTATTTGGATGTACTAATCAATATTTTTGTTCTAGATCAGTGATGGGTTCATCTGTGTTTGTTGTATTTAAAAAAATCCAGGAAAACATTGAAAAGGGTGAGTAGGAGTTGAAGATGATTGTTACTCCAAGTCCGCATTATCTGCGTCCGTTAGGAAGAATATCTGGGTTGGTTCCTTCTTGGGTAAGATGCAGAGGGACGTATGTTTGTGATAGTCATGATTCTTGTTTTTGATTAGAATGGTAAATACACTCATTGTAATAATAGATGAATGATTACATACAACGAGAGGTACGCTTGGACCAGTGGTGAGACTGTCATGAAGCAAAGATTATAATTAATCCTGTGCTTCTCACCTGACGGCCATTAAAAAATATCTAGGTTTTAAAATTCTTTTCAATATCAGCCTTGTGTTCCACAGAATGGAGGCTCCAGAGTGAAATTAATGATACTTTGTCAATGAAGGTCTTGATTGTGAACTCTGTGAGAAATGAGCCATGAGCCAACCAATGTAAGTAATGTTTAGTGTTGGTGTTTTGAAGTTGGGCGGTTGGTTGGTGGTTGTTGATTGCATTATTAAACGTGAATGGACACACAAATGAAGGCAAAGATGACCAGCGTGATGAGAATGTCATGAACCAAGGGTGATTAATTTCATTTAGTGTAACTGTCATCAAATAAAAATAATATTACTGAACTGTCCTCTGTAACAAATGAGCAAAGAAAAGGAACACACACACACACACACACACACACACACGTACGTATCCTACATATATATCACATATGTTATGTTTATACATGTATCCTATGTATATATCACCTATGTAATATGTGTTATGTTTATTTTTCATATTTTCAGGCTGGGGTGGGTTTATATATGTCTATGGGGTAATTAAACATAAATAGGTGCATGTATAAAGAAGATCAAGAGAGTCAAGCATGAACTATTGAAGACAATGTACCATGACCTAAGATTTATGATTACGCAGCTCTACAAATTTGCAAGACATTAAAACACAAATATTTATGCCTTTTCATTCATTTCAGTAGCATTCTGCTGTTAATTTATGCGCTACATTTTTGCATCAACACTTCCCTAATGAAGAAGTTTGGGGTGTTAAGTCAGTGGCAGAGGGCCACATAATGAAGTGAGGTCTTGGTAGTTTTCTGCTGGTTGACTAGAATTCGTCAGTGTTCTTTCATGATTTTTGTTTAAAGGGATGAATAAAATTTAAAAGGGCCAAGCATAGATAATGAGGATGATATTTCATAGACAGTGAGGCTTATTAATTAAATTCTACACAAATAAAGGCCATTAAAAATGATCCAGGGTGTTCATTTTTCTAATAGTTGCTGTCTGTTGCACAGAATGGACAAATCATAGTTTATGTAGTCATGAAATATTTATGAGAAATTGACTCTTACTTGGGTAGATAAGGTACTTAAGGAAAATGTAATTAATAGTTGATGTTCTTAAATCTTGTCTGGAGAGTTATTCAAGGGTGTTCATAAATAAGCAAATGAATGAATGAACAAACACACAAATAAAACGAGAGAGGGCAAACATAGGACAAAGGTGATCGTGTCTCATTGCAGTAAGTTCTTTTTATTGTATGTAGCTTAAGCATCCATTTTGAACCCAAGTTTAACTTTCTAATTCCAGAAGCAGGTTTACTCACCCTTGACACAATTTGCAGTTCTTCACGTCCTCCCAGTTCTTAATGTGACAGATCCAGATATAACTACCTTGTACAGCTGCTTCCAGGACACTGCCTCCCTAAGGAACCGCCAGACGTAGCCCACTTGACTTTCCTCACTGACCCCACAGCCTGTGTGGACCACACAGATATAGTGGCTTGCTCTAAACTCACCAGTGAGAACTCTGAAGGAAGCCTGCTTGGGAGATGCCCTAGACCACAGTACAGGCTTTCCCCTTCCTGGTGGCCGTGTGAGGCACGCAGGATCTGTAAGTAATAAACCGCTTCTGTTGTCTCATTTCATGTGTTTTGTTGACTTGCTTCCTCTGTGTCTCACCTGACCAATACACTTGAATCAAACTTCTTTCCTGGTTGGGGATCTCCTAGAGAATGGCTAGGATTAGACTGGACACAGATCAGACAAGAATCATAGGGGGACTGCCAGTGTAAACGAGTTTCCTTTGAGAGGGACACCTGGTAACGGGTTAGGTAGGATACTTAGGCATTACACTTTTTGCCAGGATAAAGACGTACCCTATAAAAAATACACTGTAAACACCCATGACCACCTCTCCTGGATCTCCATCAGGGCAGAGCTAGAATTTATATTCACTCTGTTGAGACAGACCTCAAGACCATGTGGGAGGAAAGTACAATACTCATTATCCTCAAATTATGATTATTCCGATTCAGTTCATCGAAGGTCCTTTTAAAAATGCATTGTTGGCCGGGTGCGGTGGCTCAAGCCTGTAAACCCAGCACTTTGGGAGGCCGAGGCAGGTGGATCACAGGGTCAGGAGTTCGAGACCGGCCTGACCAACATGGTGAAACACTGTCTCTACTAAAGATACAAAAATTAGCTGGGCGTGGTGGTGTGTGCCTGTAATCCCAGCTACTTAGAAGCCTGAGGCAGGAGAATCGCTTGAACCTGGGAGGTGGAGGCTATAGTGAACCAAGAGCCATTGCAGTCCAGCCTGGGCAACAGAGCAAGACTCCCATCTGAAAAAAAAAAAAAGTAAATGCGTTGGTTAAACAGTTAGTTAATATTCTGGTTTTTGCATGGGGACATGTTGGATGTTGATTTTAGTACTGAAAATAATTACCTAAATGTATAAAATAAACAAAAGGCCAGAACATGGACTTGTGATGACAGTGATCCGAGAATGAAAGGATTATCATTAATTAAGTTCTGACTGCCATACAAATAGCCTACCCTGTTGCACTCCCTTTGCCAGCTGTTTTATATTTCATTTTGTACATGTACATAGTTTATTTACACGTTTGCCTATAAATAGAAATCTGGGCTATTTACTCTGAGTAAGGAGCACACGAAGAGATGAAAGATGATGTGAGTGTTCTATTAACAGAGTAAGAGATTGGATTTATGGTTGCTCATTAAAACTTCTTTAGGAATGATCAAATCAAATCAAAGAGTGTTAGCATAAACCAATGATGGTGTTTCATGGAGTGGGGATTATGATTAATCCAATTAGGTTCATTAGAAAAGGTTCCAGACTGTAACACCCCCCACCTTTTTTTTTTTGCCTTGAGACAGGGTCTCACTCTGTTTCCCAGGCCAGACCTCCCTGAGCTCAGATGCTCTTCACACCCTCAGCCTCCTGAGTAGTTGGTACTACAGCTGTGCACCACCATGCCCAGCTAATTTTTGTATTTTTTGTAGAGATGGGGTTTCCCCATGTTACCCAGGCTGGTCTCCAACTCTTGGGCTCAAGCAATCCACTGGCCTTGGCCTCCCAATGTGCTGGGATTGCAGGTACGAACCACCATGCATGGCCCCAATAGAACTTTCTGCAGTGATGGAAATGCTCTGTAATCTGTTCTGTACAATATGGTAGCTACTAGTCACGTGATTATTGAGTCCTTGAAATGTGGCTGGTGTTCATGAGTAACTGAATTTTTTATATGACTTAATTTTTATTAATTTAAATAGTCACATGTGGCTACTGGCTACTGTATCTGTCACTTGTGTTAGGTGGTTGGTTCATGGTAGTTTTCTGAATATTAAATATGAATACATCAATACAAAAATTAAATAAAAGAGTTGATTATGAACCAGTTATTAGTTTGTTTTCACACTGCTGATAAAGACATACCCAAAACTGGGAAGAAGAAGAGGCGGAGGTAAGAGAAAATGAGGAAGATGCAAAAGCGGAAACCCACGATAAAATCATCAGATCTTATGAAACTTATTCACTACCATGAGAACAGAATGGGGGAATCACCCCCATGATTCAAATTATCTCCGACCGTGTCCCTCCCACAACATGTGGGAATTATGGGAGTATGATCAAGATGAGATTTGAGGGGGGACACAGAGCCAAATCACATCATCCTGCCCCTGGCCCCTCCAAATCTCATGTCCTCACATTTCAAAACCAATCATGCCTTCCCAACAGTTTCCCAAAGTCTTAACTCACTTCAGCATTAACCCAAAAGTCCACAGTCCAGAGTCTCATCTGAGACAAGGCAAGTCCCTTCTGCTTATGAGTCTGTAAAATCAAAAGCAAACTATTTACTCTCTAGATACAATGTGGGTACAGATATTGGGTAAATACGGCCATTCCAAATGGGAGAAATTGGCCAAAACAAAGTGGTTACAGGGCCTGTGCAAGTCCAAAATCCAGTGGGGCAGTTGAATTTTAAAGTTCCAAAATCATCTCCTTTGACTCCAGGTCTCACATCCAGGTCACGCTGATGCAAGAGGTGAGTTCCCATGGTCTTGGGCATCTCTGCCCCTGTGGCTTTGCATGGTACACCCTCCCTCCTGGCTGCTTTCACAGCCTGGCATTGAAAAGCCTGTCTGTGGCTTTTCCAGGTGCATGGTGGTACAAGCTTGTGGATCTACCATTCTGGGGTCTGGAGGACGGTGGCCCTCTTCTCAGAGCTCCACTAGGTGGTGCCCCAGTGGGGACTCTGTGTGGGGCCATTGACCCCACATTTCCCTTCCACATTGCCCTAGTGAAGATTCTCCGTAAGGGCCTCACCTCTGCAGCAAACTTTTGCCTGGGCATCCGGGTGTTTCCGTACGTCTTCTGAAATCCAGGTGGAGGTTCCCAAACCTCCATTATTGATTTCTGTGCACTTGCAGGCCCAATACCATGTGGAAGCTGCCAAGGTTTGGGGCTTGCACCCTTTGAAACCATGGACTGAACTTTACCTTGGCCCTTTTTAGCAATGGCTGAGGTGGTCGGGACACAGGGTACCAAGTCCCTAGGTTGCACACAGCATGGGCACCCTTGGCCCAGCCCATCAAACGATTTTTTCCTCCTTGACTTCTGGGTCTATGATGTAGGGGGCATGCCATGAAGACCTGTGACAGGCCCTGGACACATTTTCCCCATTGTCTTGGGGATTAACATTCAGCTCCTTGTTACTTATGCAAATATCTGCAGCCAGATTGAATTTCTTCTCAGAAAACGGGTTTTTCTTTTCTACTGCATCACCAGGCTGCAAATTTTCTGAACTTTTATGCTCTGTTTCCCTTTTAAAATGGAATGCTTTTAACAGCACCCAAGCCCCCCATTTGAATGCTTTGCTGCTTAGAAATTGCTTCCACCAGATACCCTAAATCATCTCTCTCAAGTTCAAAGTTCCAAAAATCTCTAGGGCAGGAGCAAAATGCTGCCGGTCTCTTTGCTAAAACATAACAAGAATCACCTTTGCTCCAGTTCCCAAGAAGTTCCTCATCTCCACCTGAGACCACCTCAAGCTGGACCTTACTGTTTATATCACTATCAGCATTTCTGTCAAAGCCATTCAACAAGTCTCTAGGAGGTTCCAAACTTTCCCACCTTTTCCTGTCTTCTTCTCAGCCCTCCAAACTCTTCCAACCTCTGTCCGTTACCCAGTTCCAAAGTCACTCATACATTTTTGGGTATCTTTTCAGCAATAAACCCCACTTCTGGTACCAATTTACTGTACTAGTCTGTTTTCACACTGTCAATAAAGACATACCCAAGACTGGGAAGAAAAAGAGGTTTAATTGGACTTAGAGTTCTACATGGCTGGGAGGCCTCAGAATCATGGCAGGAGGAGAAGGCACTTCTTACATGGCGGTGGCAAAAGAAAATGAGAAAAATGCAAAAGCAGAACCCCCCGATAAACCCATCAGTTCTCATGAGACTTATTCGCTACCATGAGAACAGTATGGGGGAAACTGCTCTGTGATTCAAATTATCTCCCACCAGGATTTATGGGAGTATAATTCAAGATGAGATTTGGGTAGGGGCACAGAGCCAAACCATATCAGTCAGTGATGGTGATGTTCCTTGGAACAAACATGATTAATCCAGTTCTGTACAATTGTGGTTCACTGGCAAAAAAAGTCTTTCATTCATGAAAAAACAACATAGGCTTATTCGTTTATTTTATAACTAGTGAGTATTACGTGAATGTGTACCCCATAGTTTCTGCAAACGTTTCTCTAATGTTGGAGGTCTATGTATCTTGATGGTAAAGGATCAAAAAATTACTGTCAAAGTCATAGTGTGTTGAATAGAGCTTTGTGGATATTCATCATATGAAATTATTTACTTCAAAAATGATTGATAAACGCTAGAGATTCCATTGCATGGGGCAAGGATCATAACGTAACGTAGACCAGGGTCTGTGATTAGTTTAAGTCAATGTAAGTGTATTCCATAAATAAAAGATCTCTTGTGTTACATTTGTTAGTGAGGAACATGCAACTCATTGTCGCTGTGTGTAAAGAAGGCTGAGCTTTGACCAATGACGAAAGTGTGTCATGAATCAAATATATCCATATGTTTCTGAACAAGTGAAGCCCATTATATAAAGGTTTCTATTTCTCCAGTAACAGAGAAAAAAAGATTTAAAAAATTAAAAGATTATCTATCTATATCTATCGATCTATCTATCATCTGTCTATAATGTACTACTGTTTTTCTTGGTTTTAATGTTAGATTTTTGGTGTTTTCATTGATTATATTATAAAAATCAATAAATGGATTTTTTAAATTCAAAGATCTTATAGGTTATCTGTCTCATATGGTAAATTATCTATAGACACGAAGGCCACAAGAACCACTTCCACTTACAAAAAGAATAGGAGGCACTGAGCAGTGCCACCTCACAGCAACTCCACAGTCCTGCTGGCCAGATGATGTGGGTTCTCCCTATCTGGCCTGTCACTCATATAAGAGGGGGCACATAGAGAGGGTTTATTAGGGTCATCATTCTCCTTTTTGTTTTAGGTGATGTACTCAATGGTGTTCATTAAATTAATAATTAAAATAATCAATTGATTAAGTCAGTTAAGAACGAAGTGGGTCAGTGTAGAGAAAGAGGGCCAACCAGGGGCCAATGTTGAGAATGTGGCACAAGCCAAGGATGATGCTTAATCCAGTATTCTACAATTTTAATATTTAAAAAGTTTAAATCTAGTATCTTTCACACCTGCTTTCTCTTCTACAGAATGAGTGCACTGCAGGTGATCTGCTGCTATGTAATGATGAGTCCTGGGCTCCTTTCTCTGTGGGCAAGGAGCATGGAGGCCGATGAAAGGTCAGTGAGAGTACTTGTTGTTGGTTTGGATGGTTTGTTCATGGATGTTGACGGTATTATTTAAAAGAAATAAAAAGCTCCACATATTAAAATATTACAGAACATGCATGGACCAATGATGAGAATGTTATATGAATCGGTGTTCATGATTAATCCAACTCAACGCCACTTCCACTAAAAATACAGTCAGGCTATTTTATTTGTGTTGCTGGACATTTAATATTTGTATACATTTTATGCCACTGTTGATTTAAGCAGTCCTCCATTGATAAAGACCTATGTCATCAACTGTATAAGAGGGCAGCACACAGGCAGGTTGAAAGTGATTATCAGTATTCTATTGGGCAAGAAGATGGTGGGTTTATAGTAACTCATTGTGTCATCTTTGAAATATAGACGAATTAAAAGAAAAAGGGCCAAGTATGAGCAAGTGATGACGGCAGCATTGCCATGTATGAAGAATGTTGATTGAATCTGATCCATATGTGTCATACTTAGATGCATTATAGGATGATTTATAGTGTATTATTTCTGTGGGAAATTAGATTATAGACATGCACTGTCTGATATCACTGCTAGCCACAGGGGCTACTGTGCACTTGGAATGTGACTAGTCTAATTGACATGTGATCTACATGGAAAATTATATTGAGTTTAGAAGCCTCAGTATAAAAAAGGTAAAATATTTCTAGAATTATTTATATTGATTAAATGTTACAATGACAGTGTGTTATATATTGGGCTAAATAAAATGTGCAATTACTGTTTCACCTTTTTTTTTTTACTTTTTAAAACTGTAGCTTCTAGAAAATTTACAAGTATTTGTGTGGCTTGCATTATATATTTTATTGCTCAGCACTGCTATAAGCCAATGAAAGGAATATTCAGTTTTATATTTTTCCAATCCATGGGTATTGATTGTATTATTATTGGCTAATCAGTGATGAATCAATGACAAGTGAGAAAAAAATGGAAAGAGCACATGCTAAGCATTAAAGTGTATACTGGAACGGGGATTATTTTCCTTTCTCTTTTTTGAGGCAGAGTCTTACTCTGTCACCCAAGCTGGGGTGCAGTGGTGCAGTCACAGCTTACCTCAGCCTCAACCTCCAGGCTTAAGCAATGCTCCTGCCTCAGCCTCCCTAGTATCTGGGACCGCAGGCACATGCCACCATGCCTGGCTGTTGTTTTCTGTCTTTTTTGTAGAGACGAGGTTTCATCATGTTGGCCTAGGCTGGTCTCAAACTCCTGGGCTCAAGCCATCTACCCGCCTTGGCCTCCCAAAATGCATGAGCCATGTGTCTGGCCTATTATAAATAGATTTTATTAAGCACCAAAAGCCGTTAAAATAATGGCTATGGTTTAATGGTTACTTATTTTAGGTAAGGGTGGTTAGTTCATTGAGGTAAGGAAGATATGAAAAGATCATGTAGTAATAATCGATGCTGTTCTGTTTTGTTGGTGTTGTCTCGCTAGTCTTCAGTTTTTTTGTTTCAAAGAAAATTACGAACATTAACTAATATCTGATTAAGTAGCTGACCAAAGGGAAGAGGGCTAAGCATGACGAGTGCTGAGTGAGGGCAGGATTAATCCACGTAGGGCACCACTGAAACCCACTGTAAGACACACCCAGTCTCCCACCTTTATAGATGGGCCTGTAGTTAGGGAATAGGAACCGCAGTCTTCATCTTAACCCTTTTACAGCTCATGGTATTGATTACATTAGTATTAATAAGTGAATCGATCAGTAAATCACTAAACAAATTGAACAAATTTATAAACAAACTTATTAAACAAATGTGTAAATGAATAAAAAAAGAAAGGCAAGCATGAACCAATGGATTATTATGTTTTTGATGCATTGAAGTCAATAAAATACACACAAGCACAGGGATGGATGGTGGCTCTTATTTAGAAGGGAAAGAGTTTTCCATAAATAATAAGAAAATGGAAGAGGACCAGTGTTGAGAACGTGTCAGGTGCTAAGAATTACTGTTAATCCAGTTCTAGTCATTGAGTTCATTGAACAACAATGAGAAGGAAGATCTAATCGCTTACCTCTGGGTAATGGGCAGATTGACAGATGTTAGTGTTTTTTTTTTTTGTTGTTGTTGTTGTTTTTTTCCCCACAGACTTTTAATGTGTAAAAAACAAAGTATTTTACAACAGCATGTGCTCACTTTGTGTCTTTGTGTCATATTTTGGTAATTCATGCAGTATTTCAAATGCTATCATTATTGTTCTATCAGTGATCTGTGGTTAGTCATGCTTGTTTTGCGAGGACTTTTCAGATTTTTTCTGTTTCCTTTTTTTTTTGAGATGGAGTTTCACTCTTGTTGCTTAGGCTGGGGTGCAATGGCGTGATGTTAGTTTTATTCAGAGTTTTTAACAGTTTCTTTGAATTCTCTGCTATGGATTGTAAGGGAATGAATGAGTAAGTTTATGTCATAATTAGTTAAAAGAGAACAAATGACAGACCAGTGATGGATATAAATTATGAAGTATTAGAATAAAGTAATTTCTATACAGATGATGTCCATATAAAATATGTAATATCTAGGCTCCTAACTGCTTAATGTTCACAGATGGATTCATGTTATATTAAGTTTTGGATGCTTGCAGATTTATCCTTGTTAATTTGTTTTCAAAAGATGGATATAAGGTTAAATTAATCTATTACTAGTAAATAAGCAAATAGATGAATACATAAAGAGGGTCAAGAATGATTTGTCAATTAAACAAAATTTTATTTTATTTTAAAAATAAAATAAAACTTAAAAACCAGTGAACATTGGTGAAAATGTACCCTGAAACAAAATTTAAGATCAATATAATTCTGAACAAGTGGGTTCCATTAAAAAACGGAAGAGCGTGCTTCACTCAGTTTACATTTGTTTAATATTTCATTTTTTACCACTCTTTATTTACACATTCTGCCATTGATATAGATTTAGGTTTCTAAGCTATTGACAGAGAAAACACAAGGAAGGGAAAAAAGTGTTGTCAGTGAAGTAAAACAAGAGATTCCTTTATGTTCTTTGTTAAATATTTAAAATTTGACAAAGTTGAGGGAAGGCTAAAGACAGAGGACCCTACATGGGCCACATTGAGTATGGGGCTGGCATTGAGCATGGGGCTGACGTTGAGCATGGGGCTGACGTTGAGCATGGGGCTGACGTTGAGTATGGGGCTGACGTTGAGTACGGGGCTGCATAAGGATGTTGGTTGCTCCATATGTGCAGCAGTGAGCTCCCCTGTAGAAGGAGATTCAGTGGATTAGCTCATGGAGAAATTAGCCTACATATACCAGTTATAATATTCATATATCTTATTTTTGATTTGTTGTGATTCATGAATATTGGTAAAGTGATTTTTAGTCAATTAATGAATTAAATCAATAAGCAAATGTATAAATAAAATCTCAACTAAGCCATTGATAAGTACTCTAGGGTGCTTAAATCAAGGATTTTGATTAAACTATATTACTCTGAGGTCCATTATAAAACCAAATCTAATTTACTGCCTCAGTGGGGCATGAGCTTTTAGCTGCAGTGAGGAATGTAAGCATCTTGTGCTTGGGATTTTGCAGATCTGATATGAATCCTATTATTAGTAGTAAATCAGTGCAGAGTAAATAAAGACACATACCAATGAATCCAGCTAAAGAGGGCTGGATATGCATCAGTTATGGGAGAATGTAATGAGATACATATTATTATTAAATATTTCTGAGAAGCTGAGTTCTAGTAAGTAAACAGTTCAAGGCTGTTACCACATTGGTTAGGAATGTATGGACAGATGTATGTTTCTGGGTTGGCAGCTGTTAATTTTGTTCTGTATTTTAATATGAAAAGGGAAAAAAAGGAAATTGCTTACAAAACTGCCTACCTGAAAGATCAAGCAGGGGCCATCTGTTGAGCTTATGGGCAGATGTTAGTGTTATTTAGAGCTCTTATTCAGAGCATGCAGGTTCACAGTTTTTGACGGCATTATTCTGAGTAAATGAAAGAAGGGATTATCTATTTATTTTTTATTGACAGAATACTTTTTTTTTATCTATAGCATCAACAACACTTCCATCATAGCAATGACAAAATGATGAGTATAATAAAATAATAAAAATGTTAGTAATATAGCTAACAATTATTGTACTATATATTTAATCGCTGCAATTTTTAATTTTCTATTTTTATTTCAATAATTTTGGGGGAACAGGTGGTTTTTGGTTACGTGGGTAAGTTCTTCAGTGGTGATTTCAGAGATTGTGGTGCACCTGTTACCTGGACAGTGCCCACCATACCCAATGTATAGCCTTTTATTCTTCACCCCTACAAACCTTCCCCCCAAGTCCCCAAAGTTCATTATGTCATTATTATGCCTAGGCATCCTCATTGCTTAGCTCCCACTTATAAGTAAGAGCATAAGATGTTTGGTTTTATTCCGAAGTTAATTCAGTTAGAAAAATGATCTTCAGCTCCATCTGGGTTGCTGTGAATGCCATTATGTTGTTCTTTTTTATGGCAGAGTAATATTCTGCAGTGTATATATATGTATGTATATATATATATATATACACAACACATTTTCCTTATCTACTCGTGGGTTGCTGGGCATGTAGGCTGGTTTCATATCCTTGCAATTGTGAATTGTGCTGCTATAAACATGCGTGTGCCAGTGTCTTTTTCATATAATGACTTCTTTTCCTCTGGGTAGATACCCAGTAGTGGGATTGCTGGGTTAAATGGTAGTTTTACTTTTAACTCTTAAAGGAATCTTCATACTGTTTTCCATAGTGGTTGTACTACTTTACATTCCCACCAGCAGTGTAGAAATGTTTCCTTTTCACCACATCCATGCCAACATTAGTTAACTTTTTATTTTTTAATTATGGCCATTTTTGCAGGAGTAAGGTGGCATCCCATTGTGGTTTTAATTTGCATTTCTCTGATAATTAGCATTTTTTCATGTTTGCTGGCCATTTGTGTATCTTTTTTGGGGAATTGTCTATTCATGTCCTTTGCCCACTTTTTGATAGATTATTTTTGATTTTTTGCTGATTTGCTTGAGTTCTTTGTAGATTCTGAATATTAGTCCTTTGTCAGATTGTAGTTTGCAAATATTTTCTCCTACTCTGAGGGGTGTCTGTTTACCTTGCTGATTATTTTTTTGCTGTGCAGAAGCTTTTTAGTTTCGTTAGGTCCCATCTGTTTATTTTTGTTTTTGTTGCATTTGTTTTTGCATTCTTGGTCATAAACTCTTTGCCTAAGCCAATATCTAGAAGAGTTTTCCCAATGTTATATTGTAGAGTTTTTTTGATTTCTGGTCTTAGATTTTAAGTCTTCCATTTTGAGTTGACTTTTGTTTAAGGTGTAAGAGATGATGATCCAGTTTTATTTTTCTACATGTGTCTTGCCAATTATCCCAGCACCATTTGTTGAATAGGCTGTCCTTTCCCCACTTTATGTTTTTGTTTGCTTTGTTGAATATCAGTTGGCTGTAAATATTTGGCTTTATTTCTGGGTTCTCTATTCTTTTCCATTGGTCTACGTGCCTATTTTTATGAGTATCATGCTGTTTTGGTGACTGCAGCCTTGTAGTGTAGTTTGAAGTTGGGCAATGTAATGCCTCCAGATTTGTTCATTATGCTTAGTATTGCTTTGGCTATGTGGCCTCTTTTTTGGTTTCATATGAATTTTAGGATGGTTTTTTCTAGTTCTCTGAAGAATGATGATGGTATTTGGGTGGGAATTGCATTTAATCTGTAGATTGTTTTTGGCATTATGGTCATTTTCACAATATTGACTCTGCCCACCTCTGAACATGAGATGTGTTTCCATTTGCTTGTGTCGTCTATGATTTCTTTCAGCAGTGTTTTGTAGTTTTCCTTGTAGAGATCTTTCACCTCTTTGGTTAGGTATATTCCTAAGTATTTTTGTTGTTGTTGTTGCAGTTGCTATATAAGAATCAAAAGTTCTTGATTTGATTCTTAGCTTGGTTGTTGTTGGAGTATAGCAGTCCTACTGATTGTGTGAAAGGGATTATTTAAATGAAGACAAACATAGATGAATAAGGTTAATTTATCATTTAAAATGTCCATATAAATAAAAGGGTAATGGGGTTCTGCTCACTGTGGATAAACAGCATAGAGTCAGTTACTTGTAATAATATTTTAGGCCATTTTGCATTTTCTTTGAAGAAAATAAAAATACTAATAAATTATTCCATAAGTGAATATAAAATAAACAAATAAATGAATAGATTCATAAATTAAGATCAAACACAGACCATTGGTGAAAATGTGTTAAGAAGTGGGAACATAAATATATCCAATTCTAATCAAGAAAGACCGATAAAAAAGATCACCTTGGTTCTTACCTGGGTGGGTGGTGCTTAAGTGACAGAATTTGGAATATGCATAGTTTTTATTATTTTCTTAGGGTATAGGTTTAGGAGTTTTCACTATGCTGCCTAAATTAGTGATTAACAAAGACAATAAATAAACTCAGTGGCATTCTTGGGCTAATGGTGGGAATTTAACAAAAACTGGAGTTTTTTAAAAATTTGGTACAACAGGACTTAGGTCCCTTAAAAAATAGAAATCTGTGCTGCTTCTTGACTTTTCTAAAATCTGGTTTTTACTCTACATATTCAATATGCCAGATCTGACTTATTCGTTATACAGTGATGGAGATGTTGCTGACATGTAGGTGGATAAGGAGCAGAGAGGCACATGTAAGTAACAGAGTTCTTGTTCTTGCTTTGAAGGGGATTATTCATGTTGTCCATGGAATTAATTCAAAGGAATGAATAGCTACCACAAACATAAATAGAATTAAACATGCTGGCTGGGCACAGTGGCTCACGCCTGTAATCCCAGCACTTTGGGAAGCTGAGGCCGGTGGATCACGAGGTCAGGCATTCAAGACCAGCCTGGCCAACATAGTGAAAACCCATCTCTACTAAAAATACAAAAAATTAACCAGGCATGGTGGTGGACACCTGTAATTCCAGCTACTTGGGAGGCTAAGACGGGAGGATTGCTTGAACCCAGGAGGTAGAGGTTGCAGTGAGCTGAGATCTCACCACTGCACTTCAGCCCAGGTGACAGTGTGAGACTCCATCTCAAAAAACAAACAAACAAACAATGCTGAGAGAGTGGATGTGAAGTGTTCTCGTCACAAAAGTGACGACTATGAGAGGTAATGGGTATATTAATTAGCTAGCGATCCGACGATGTATATACTTCAAAACATCATGTCGTACACGATAAATACACATAATTTGATCTGTCAATTAAAAAATGCAGTAATAAAATCAAAACAAATGAAAGAATGCCATGCATGGACCAATATTGGGAATACGTAATGAACCATGGGTTAAGATGAATTTATTTTAGTACAACTGAGATCCGTTACAAACAAAATCGGAGGGGGTTGTATTCATTTTCACAGTTGCTTAATATTCTACTCTATTGTGCACCATATTTTAAGAAGATTCTTCTGCTGCTAAAGATCTAGGCTTTTAAATTGTTGGGGAGGGAGCACCTACAAATGTGGGACAAATTGCCAGTGTTCTGGTCGTGGAATGAGATGATAGGCTGTTCACTGTACTGTCTTTAAGTTACAAGGACATTAAGTGAAAGATGAGTGAGCAAAGAGCAGTGACACACACGGGATGGGTAGGAATAACGTTATTGATTAATCTATAGGTACAATCTGAGGCCCAATTAGAAAGAGATCTTATCTACCAGCTCTGTGGGAAATGAGCCTGGAATAGCAGTCAAAGGTCTTGATCTTGGGTGTTTGTGATTCATAGATATTAAATTATTTTGTTGGTGAAACAATAAATGAAATAGTATGTATAATCAATAAACAGTGTATAAGTAAATACATGAGGAAAAATGTCAAGTTTGGATCAGTGATGAGTAATTCAGGGGCATATAAGTCATTCATTTTGATTAAACCCTAAACTCTGAAGTCCATCAAAAAGAGACCTAGTTATTCTCTCTAAGGGAATGAAGTTCAGAGTAGAAGTTCAGGTTCTTGGGCTTTAATGGTTCCTAGGTAGGGATTGTAAGTGAATCAATGAATGCAATAATAAAGAAATGTGTAAGTGAAGATAAAGATTGTCATATGTGGACCATTTATGATAGCATGTCATGAAACAAGTATTATTACTAATATATTTGTATAGTATTTAATTTCAATATAATATATAGGCAAAAGCTGTTATTTGGAGTACATAGGAGCTCCAGACACATAGAAGCACATAGACAGATGTATCTAAGGGTCCGTGTTGGTATTCTGGATTTGTAAGAGGTTGCTAGTTGTCAGCTTATTAAGAAGGGCAAGTATTTACAAAAACAAAAGATTACATGACTGTAACAGAAAAGGAGCAAGTATGTGCCAATTTGAGGATGTGTTACATGACACCAGTTATGACTGATCTAATTATAACCATTTAATTTTATAAAAAATAACAAAAAATGGCAAGGGATAGAGTCAGTTATTTCTGTGGGTAATGAGCATGTGGGTTGTTTGGTCTTGTTTTGTGTTCACATGTAGAGTCTAGGATCTCTGGTAATTACATTTTTTTTAAGTTGAATGAATATGATTGTATCTCAAGGGCCAACTCTGGACAGTGTGGAGCATGTGATGTGGAATAAAGCTAATGACTAATCCCACTCTACCCTACTGATGTCCATGTAGAGAAAGTGGGATCTAGGTGCTTCTGTCTTGGGTTAACTTGGGTTAAGTTCATAGACAGATCATAGAACATTCCAGTCCTAGGCTGCTGGTGGGTTTACTATACATTTTACTGAGATAGGGCCAAACATGAACCAATATGGAGAATGTGTCATATGACCAGGGTTATAATTAATCCAACATTATTTAGTGAGTTTAATTTATTTATTTATTGCATTTCAGGCTTTGGGGTATATGTGAAGAACATGCAAGATTGTTGCATAGGTACACACATGGCAGTGTGATTTGCTACCTTCCTCCCCATCACCTATATCTGGCATTTCTCCCTATGCTATCTCTCCCCAACTCCCCACCCACTGCTGTCCCTCCCCTATTTCCCTGTGACAGACCCCACTGTGTGATGCTCCCCTCCCTGTGTCCATGTGTTCTCATTGTTCAACACCTGCCTGTGAGTGAGAACATGCAATGTTTGATTTTCTGTTCTTGTGTCAGTTTGCTGAGAATGATGGTTTCCAGGTTCATCCATGTCCCTACAAAGGACACGAACTCATCGTTTTTTATGGCTGCATAGTATTCTATGGTGTATATGTGCCACATTTTCCCCGTCCAGTCTATCATTGATGGGCATTTAGGTTGGTTTCAAGTCTTTGCTATTGTAAACAGTGCTGCAATGAACATATGTGTGCATGTGTCCTTATAGTAGAATGATTTATAATCCTTTGGATATATACCCAGTAATGGGATTGCTGGGTCAAATGGAATTTTTATTTCTAGGTCCTTGAGGAACTGCCACACTGTCTTCCACAGTGGTTGAACTAATTTACACTCCCACCAACAGTGTAAAAGTGTTCCTATTTCTCCACATCCTCTCCAGCATCTGTTGTCTCCAGATTTTTTAATGATCGCCATTCTAACTGGCGTGAGATGGTATCTCAAGTAGTTTTGATTTGCATTTCTCTAATGACCAGTGATGATGAGCATTTTTTCATATGTTTGTTGGCCTCATATATGTCTTCTTTTGTAAAGTGTCTGTTCATATCCTTTGCCCACTTTTGAATGGGCTTGTTTGTTTTTTCTTGTAAATCTTTTTAAGAAAATAAAAAGAGGCTGTAGTTACGGTCTATGAACGTGTAGACAGATATTGACAGTTCTTATCTTTTGTCTTGGAGTCCGTTGTTATTGAGATGTTGTTCTAAGTGAATAAAAGAGGTTATTTATATCTAGATCAATTATTTAAGAGAAGGCCAAGCACGGGCCAATGAAGAACACCTGTTAGGAACCAAAGATAATGATTACTCCGGTTACACTCTAATGTCCAGATACATAGAGCTCCAGGTTGCCCTCCTTTGGGTAAAGCAAACGTTGAAATTTCCATGGAGTAATTCTTTAGAAAAACATATATATAATTTATTCCATGCTTAATTATATACATGAATTAATAAGTGAATCACTAGACAAGTAAATCAGAAAGATTCTGCATCGTTGGTGAGAATATGCCATAAAACAAAGGTTTTCATTGATTTAATTTTTCACAAGTGAGATCCACTAGAAGTGATCACCTATCTGTTAAATTTATAGATAGGGAGTATGTAGACAGATATTTGTGGTAGATATAGCTCTTATTCTTATGTGGACATTCACTGTATTATTTAAAAGCCAAAGCTACACAAGTCAATAAATAAGGAGTGGCACTTTTGGACAATGATGGGATGACCCAAGTTTAAGATTAATCTAATACTGCAAAATAAATTTTCATTAACAATATCTAACTGTAGGTCTTTCTTTCTTTTGAAAGTGTGTGTTTTCCTTGACCAAATGAGCACATCATGGTGAAGAACTGATTTAATCATTCTCTAATGATAAAGATCTTGGCTTTTACCTCTGTGGGTAAGGACAGAAGATATTAATGTAAGTAACAGCTGTCATTTACTGTTCTTGGATTGGGAAGTTGGTTTATGGGTGTTGCCTGAATAACTGGATATATATTCATAAATAAAATGAGATTACACCAACATGGACCAGTGATGAGAATATGTTCAGAATTGGGATTTATGATTAACATGATTCAGGCCGGGTGCGGTGGCTCACGCCTGTAATCCCAGCACTTTGGGAGGCCGAGGCGGGTGGATCACGAGGTCAAGAGATCGAGACCATCCTGGTTAACATGGTGAAACCCCGTCTGTACTAAAAATACAAAAAATTAGCTGGGCATGGTGGCGCGTGCTTGTAATCCCAGCTACTCAGGAGGCTGAGGCAGGAGAATTGCCTGAACCCAGGAGGTGGAGGTTGCGGTGAGCCGAGATCGCGCCATTGCACTCCAGCCTGGGTAACAAGAGCGAAACTCTGTCTCAAAACAACAACAACAACAACAACAAAAAAACATGATTCAGTACTAGTAAACTTCAATGAAAAAGATACAGGGTGTTTCATTTGTTTTCAGAGGTGATTTAAATTCTGCTTTATTTTTGTGCTGTGATTCATTTAAGTACCTCTCCATTGATAAAGATTTAGGCTATTAATTCCTTAAGGGAGGAGCACATAGAAGATGGGCAATATTGTCAGTGCTCTAGATGTGCAGTATGATTATAATTCGTTGGTGATTTATTGCACCATCTTTGTTATCTGAAAGAAGACCAAGTGTGGTCCAGTGAGTAGCATGGAGCTGACATGAAACAAGGATGTTGATTAATTTATGTGTGTAAAAAGTGCATATATATATATGTATCTGTGTGTATATATATATATATATATATATACACACACTCAGATATACTCACACATACATATATGTGTGTGTGTGTGTCTATCTATTAGCTCTGTGGTCAGTGGACATGTGGACAACTATTAGTATTCCAGATGTTCTTGAGCTGTTTGACTCACAAGGATTGATTATAATATTATTAATGAATCAATGAATATAGAAATAAATAATGCATAAAGTGTGTTGAGTATAGCCAGTTATTAATATTCTGAGCTGTAGGAATAAAAGATTTTGATTAGATTCTGTAACTCAGAGGTTTATTAGAAAAAAGAAACTAGTTATTTCTTCTGTGGGAAAGGGGCTTACAGCAAAAGTTAGGAAAAGCCAAGGATGTGGTTCTCAGTTCTTCAGGCCTGTGCATTGTATGAAAAGTGAACCAATGCAAGAATAAATAAAGATGTAGAAATTAATGATGGCTAATTATGCAAGTCGGTAATGAAACAAGGATTATTATTAATTATTGTTATTTTCTGAAGTACTGAGTTTTATAACATAGATTAAGCCTACCTTATTATTTTTCATAAAAGACACATCTAATTTCATGACAGTCCCTGTTGTAATTTTGGATTGATGTTGGGTAGCTGGTTGTCAGTTTTATTTAGAAAAGAAACAAATCATTTACATGAAAAGTAATTGTTCCAATAATTGCCTAATTGAAAGAAGGCCAGGTGTGGACTAATACTGAGAATATGATCATAGGCATTATTATAATTGCCTAATTGAAAGAAGGCCAGGTGTAGACTAATATGGAGAATATGATCATAGGTGTTATTAATGTAATTCTGTTCACTGAATATTATTTAAGAAAACAAAAATGATCTAGCCATTTATATCTTTGGACAGTGAACATACAAACAGATATTAGTCAGTGTTCTTGTCCAGTGTTGTGGCTTTTATTCATTTTGATGTATTATTAAAAAGTGAATGAATAAATGAGTTTGTGTTTCAATTATTTAAAAAAATATGGAGGATTGGCCAGTGTGTCACCAAGCAAAGATAACAACCTATTTTTACAGATTAAAAAAAAAGAAATCTACCTGGATCCCACTTTGGACAAAGTACATGTTAACAGTTGCATGAAATGGTATTTTACTTTTGGATTACTGTTTGGTTTTATTCTTTTTTTTAAAAAAAATGAGCAAATGATCAAGTTATTTTGGCGGTAATTAAATAAAAGAAAGAACATAGGTGAGTCAGCAAATGCTTAAATTAAGGTAAATCTTAGATTACTGTTTCTTGACACACTCTCAGCAATGCTCAAATATGGTTCCTTAAGAAAGATTAATGAGGTTTGGGTGTTTATGTGGTTAGGGACTATACAGATGGATAGTGGTAATGGTTATATTTATTACTCCTGCATTGGATAGATTTAAGGGTTCATTATGTTAAAAATTAAACAGTAAGTAAATCCATACGTAAAAGGTATGGTTATTCTTGAGTCAATAATGAGAATGTTTAAGGAACCAAGGTTTATTATTAATTGAATCCCTCATGACTCAAGTCCATTAAAAGAAGG